GGAATTCAAAATTCTTTCCACTTTCTAGCTTAAGGTCTTACTCTCCTATTGATATGTTTCTTTGAGGGGTGGCCAAGGAAAGAAGACTCAAAAGAAACCAAACCTGCTGACCTTGATCTTGGGCTCTCAGCCTCCAGAACTGGCAGAAAATAAATTTCTGTTGTTTAAGCCACTGAGTCTGTGGTATTTTGTTACGGCAGTCCTAGCAATACATCAATCTAAATAAAAAGTACTCTGCCTAGAGTTGCTTTCATGCCAAAGAAACTTTCCTGTGCTTCCCTAGGTCTCATAAGCCAACATCTATTAAGAGATAGTAAAATCTGTCATGCTATTAAGAATTATTGAAATTGCTTAATTATCTGAATATGGGATGTTGATAAACTACTGCCAACTTTTTGTCCCCTTACTGATCCATAGGAAGACTCAGACAAATCCAATTTATCCATTTGGCACTGCAGGCAGAGTGCCCAGGGCCCACAAGCTTTTCCAGAAAAGAAAATGTACAAGAAAATGTCTGAGATCTGGGCATGAAAAGGGCAGGTACCAGTTCTAAATAAGAAAACAAAACTACAAAATTAAGAGATGCTTCATTAAATTTATATATAAACTTCATTAATTTTTCATTTTAAAACACATACGAATTTCCCTACATTTGAAAATAATGAGGACTTTAGCTTTTTGCATTTCTCAGGAATTCTCACATATGCACAATGATTGCTTAAAACTCACATCAAATCATGAGTCAACACACTCAAATAATTTCAAAAACAAGAATAATCCATTCAAAACATTTTTGAGAAAAATTTTCAACATTGGATATGGGTGCATCTTAATATTTGATGACACGGGGTAGGGTCTCCCTTTTCTCCCTCCATTCCCTAACTGCCTGTCTCCTTCAGCTCCAAATCACTAATCATAGTTCAGAGAGGCGGGGGCAGTGATTCCTGCAAGGGAGGGCTGGGGGGTTGTGAGGGCAAAACTTCCAGGGGCTAGGAGGATGAGGAGCTCAGAAAAGAAGCAAACACAGGGACTTCCCTGGCAGTCCAGTGGTTAAGAAACTGTGCTTCCGCTGCAGGGGGCACAGGTTCCATCCCTGGCTGGGGAACTAAGATCCTGCATGCTGTGAGGTGCAGTCAAAAAAAAAAAAAAAAGAAGCAAGCACAAACAGGTCGTGTATGATATACATGGAAATGCAGAACATATAAGCCTAAATACATCCTGGACCCTTTAAAACGTAAGTGACAGATTTAACAAGTAGTGTATCTAATGCTGCATTTCCACATCTAGAGGCAGGAGGCCACCTCTAGAGAGCAGCCCCTGGCTTACATCCAGCAAGAAAACAGCAACTTCAGTCCTACAACACTGCAACAACTTGCAGTAGCTTGGAAGTGGAGTAGCTAGTGGAATCTTCCCCAGTCAAGTCTCCAGATAAGACTCCAACCTAGCCAACAACTTGATTACAACCTTCTCGGACCCTCAGCAGATGACACTGCTAAGCCATGCCCAGACTCCCGACTCACAAAAACTGTGGGGTGACAAATATATGTCACTTTATGCCACTAGGTTTGTGGTCATCTGTTCCACAGCAATAAAAACTAATACAGTGAGCCAAGCTAGGCCCACATGTTTATTTAAGCCTCATTTAAATATTAAATAATTTATGCTTCACTTAAGAAAGGAATTGGGGCAGATTAAGGCTACAAGTGGTCCTTTAAGGTTCATGTGTAGCTGTTTAACACACAGATTAGAGGAAAACAATTAAAATTACAAAATGTGAGAAGGTTATGGTGAAAAGCACTATGATTGTTGAATAATCTGAATGTAATCAAATTGTAAATAACAGCATCCTAAGAAAACAAAAGAAAAAAATACTCAAAGGTATGCATTAAAACTGAGGTAGGGACTTCCCTGGCAGTCCAGTGGTTAAGACTGTGCTTCTGGGACTTCCCTGGTGGCGCAGTGGTTAAGAATCCACCTGCCAATGCAGGGGACACGGGTTCGATCCCTGGTCTGGGAAGATCCCAGATGCCGTGGAGCAACTAAGCCTGTGTGCCACAACTACTGAGCCTGCGCTCTAGAGCCCGCGAGCCACAACTACTAAGCCCACGAGCTACAACTACTGAACCCTCATGCCTACTGAAGCCCGCGTGCCTAGAGTCCATGCTCTGCAACAAGAGAAGCCACTGCAATGAGAAGCCCGTACACTGCAATGAAGAGTAACCCCCGCTCACTGCAACTAGAGAAAGGCTTCATGCAGCAACAAGGACCCAACATAGCCAAAAATAATTAATTTAATTTAAAAAAAAAAAAAGACTCCATGCTTCCACTGCAGGGGGCATGCATTTGATCCCTAGTCGAAGAACTGAGATTCTGCATGCCAAGGGGCACAGACAAAAAAAAGAAGAGGCAGAAAAATTGTTGCAGCCCTCTCTGCTTGAAGTCAAAACAGTGTTGACCACCAATCTCCTTTAAGTAATATTTCAAGGATTTTTTTTTAAGTTAAAGGGACATAAAGAATAATTGTACATAGTTTTATACTTTGTAATACTTAAATGTATTATAGTCTATTCATGGATCACTTTATATTTTCTTCTTGTTGCAACATCTTCATGGTTACCCTTTGGATTACAACTGTCATCTTACATTTCTAAGAAACTAGCTTGAACTCAGCTTTAGTAGTATACAAAACTGATTCTATACAGTTCTGTCCTTCCCCTTTATGTTGTTACTGTTACAAACTGTATCTTTGGACATTGTGATTTCCTGCCTCATGTTTATTATTTAGTCACATTCTGAGTAGGGCCTCCAACAATGTGCCTTTTTAATATCTGCTCCAGGTGATCTTTACATTTAAGACCACTGAGATACTCCTACTGAAGTGGAAATAAGGGTACAATGAGGGTGGTGGAGCAATCTAGGAAGAAAGTAGGGTTTGCAATGATAGTAAGACAGAAAGACGTCTTGCAAAGTTACAATAAGGCAAACACAAGGTTAAAATAAACAGACTAGGGCTTCCCTGGTGGCGCAGTAGTTGAGAGTCCGCCTGCCAATGCAGGGGACACGGGTTCGTGCCCCGGTCCGGGAAGATCCCACATGCCGTGGAGCGGCTGGGCCCGTGAGCCATGGTCACTGAGCCTGCACGTCCGGAGCCTGTGCTCCGCAACAGGAGAGGCCACAACAGTGAGAGGCCCGCGTACCGCAAAAAAAATAAAATAAATAAACAGACTAATAGTGTTATTCTGTAACGTTATCATCTGGCAACATGTTGAAATGTTTAAAAGTATATATATTGCTTCCAACTGATATCATAAAAATTATCAAGTATGCTATTAAGACATTGGAAATTTCCTAAAAGCAAATTCTTTATCATTTTTTTACCTCCATCTAATTCTTACCAACACCACACCATTACTGGTTCCAGTTCACCTTATGTGTAGCTTTTAGAAAGTGCAAAATACAAGGAGGTGGAAAGGATATGTTTTCCCTTCTGGAGGTGTATCATTCTCTGAGGGAGTATGCAGAGGTCCCCGTCAAGCTCTGTTGAGCCCTGACCTCTGTGGGGAATCACTGCTCTCCTTCAACCTTTTCATTTTATAAGTGGAAAACTGGGACTCAAAGGAACAGACCTGCCAAAGATTAGCGTTGCTGAGCCTGAATTAAAACCTATTTCCTTGGAATTTAAGAAAAAAAAAAATGTCATTAAGAACCTAGGAGTAAAACAGGAATAAAGACACAGACCTACTAGAGAATGGACTTGAGGATATGGGGAGGGGGAAGGGTAAGCTGTGACAAAGCGAGAGAGAGGCATGGACATATATACACTACCAAACGTAAGGCAGATAGCTAGTGGGAAGCAGCCGCATAGCACAGGGAGATCAGCTCGGTGCTTTGTAACCACCTAGAGGGGTGGGATAGGGAGGGTGGGAGGGAGGGAGACGCAAGCAGGAAGAGATATGGGAACATATGTATATGTATAACTGATTCATTTTGTTGTAAAACACAAACTAACACACCATTGTAAAGCAATTATACTCCAATAAAGATGTTAAAAAAAAAAACCTATTTCCTGATTTCTTTCCACTCTATCACATCTCTATTAAAATAACAAGAGGACCGTGAGTTTCCTAATGTTGTTTTTGGAAACAGTCCAATCTTTTTTTTTTTTTTTTTTTTTGCGGTACGTGGGCCTCTCACTGCTGTGGCCTCTCCCATTGCGGAGCACAGGTTCCGGACGCACAGGCTCAGCGGCCATGGCTCACGGGCCCAGCCGCTCTGCGGCATGTGGGATCTTCCCAGACCGGGGCACGAACCCGTGTCCCCTGCATCGGCAGGCGGACTCTCAACCACTGCGCCACCAGGGAAGCCCCAATCATATTCTTTTAAAAAGCTAAAATGTACAGATGCCTACAATGCAATTTCCTCCAAGCTGCCACTAATAATTTTTCTATTATTAAGAGCAAAAACAAACACACCTTCATTGCTGGCAAGAGAAATTCTGGAATAAATGGTAGCACAAGCAACAGCAACAAAATTTTTAAGTCTAAGGCTGGAGGGTGAGTTTGCTCTTCCTTACCACAAATTTCTATTTTACTGTGTTAATTCATTAAGTTTAGAATACTGATTAAGTACCACCCTTTTAAGGAAAGACCTATGTTAATTACTCAAGGCACCCCAATACTAACTTCATGTAATTGTAAGTTATTAATACTATTCACTCCATCCTATGGGTTAGAAGGGAAATAAAGATACTTCTTAGCAAAAACAATATAGACAGAAAGGGTGGGAGGGAGGTCCAAGAGGGAGGGGATATATGTATACATACAGCTGGTTCACTTTGTTGTACAACAGAAACTAACACAACGTTGTAAAGTATCTATACCGCAATTTAAAAAAAGAAAAAAATATATATATATAGACAGAAGTGAGGAAACAGTTTCTAGATTAAGCACACCAAGGGTATATCCAAAATAAAAAATAAAAATAACACTCTGAAACAAAAGTTACCTGTAACTCCAGAACATTTTAATTCTAAAGAGCTTTAATAAATAAAAAGCCCATTTCCAAATATCTATCAAAAAGAGAATGAATAACAAGTCCCATCAGAGCTGGGGAAACATTTTTTTTTTAAAAGGAAGGGGAGGGATGAAGGTAGATAACCATTTTTTCCCAAAAAGATAAAGATAAAACACTGCTTCCTCAAATAACCACTCAGAATGTCACTTGAGATGAGTAGGCAGGAGGAATATAACTGTCCATATTTGCCTTGTATACTGTACTGGGCAACTAAATGCCAACTTAGCTATTTAGGAATGGCTTGCTAAAACGTTGAAAAAATGAAAGACTTCATCCTTGTCGTAGACTGCCACTTCGGTGGAACATTCAGAGCACATGACTGGGTGATAGATTTCTTCCACATCTGTCTCTGCCTGCTCCGCAGCATCTTCTTGGTTAGACCTCATCTTCTTATGGCCTCGCCTTTTCTTCCTGTTCTCTGGGGTTTTGTATCTTAGAATCTCTTCTTTGTTGATAGAACAATTCATTACAAACATTGCTCTATACTGAGTTTTGTATGATTCATGCCTAAGAGGAAAATGAAATGGAGAATTTGGATTTACATTCTATTTTAATAGTTACACATTTAGATAAAATGTGAGAATACCAAAAACTTACTGAAATACCAACCAAAGTAAAAACATGAGAACAAAATGGGAAATTAAAGAGTTTTTAAGACTTATTTTACGAACAGGAAGAGAATTGTTAACAGATACTGATGAATATATCCTCTTTTCTACTGCTCTATAAGTAACTTTTATCTCAGAAAAAAATGTTTTGATTTGCTCTTCCACCTCAGACAAGAAAAGCTATTGGAAACCTGAGAGGTAATGTTTAAAAAATCTTTGACTGTGTCTTTTTCCTGTTGTGACCTGAGACTCTGCCCTCCTCTCATTACTAGGTAGTGCCATTCTGGTCACTATTTTAGTAAAAGTTACAGTTTTAGAAGCTTAAAGAGCATCTGATTTATAATGTCCACTCTTGGCTTTACTCCAACAGTCTAAAGAATAGATAATGTTTTCTTTGTTCTCCTCATACACTTAATATTTTCCTACTTCTTTCTTGACTTAGTAAGTTATTTTCCTTTTTTTCCCCCTTAAACATCATGCAACAGAAATATCTATCTGGTTAGAAACAGTGAAGTCAAGTTATGCCTTCATTAGTTCTGAATGCTGATCATCTCCTCTTCCACCACCACCACTACCAGGCTGGTGTTTCTCAAGACGAAACCATAAAACTTTCATTTATATTCCACCGTACTGGAATCCTATCCTAATATGGAACACAATTTTTACCAAGCCCAATTTCTGTTAGATCATGAAGCAACTTTGTTTGGGTATAGTAACCCTGTAACATGGTAACATGGTTTAATTTAAAAGAGAAGCAACTTAAGTACAAAGATATTTTACTTTTTCTTTATTTCATGTTCTAGGTGTCAATTTATATACAAAAAGCTTAACAGGGCTTCCCTTGTGGCACAGTGGTTGAGAGTCCGCCTGCTGATGCAGGAGACACGGGTTTGTGCCCCGGTCTGGGAAGATCCCACATGCCGCAGAGCAGCTGGGCCCGTGAGCCATGGCCGCTGAGCCTGCGCATCCGGAGCCTGTGCTCCACAACGGGAGAGGCCACAACAGTGAGAGGCCCGCGTACCGCAAAAAAAAAAAAAAGCTTAACAGCTCATATGGAGAGTACAAAAATTAATTGTTGCAGATGATCAGAAACCTCAAGCTAGCTAATAAGAGTAAATTACATCTGGCTTCCCATTAGTAACTAGAACAAATCCACCACCTAACATCATCATTTAATTTCAGTTAACCTGATTCAGAACATGGACTAAGCCAGACATTTATAAGGCTACCAGAAAAAGAGAAAAGAAAATAAAGAAAAGGAGAGGAAAAGGGCAAAAGTATATTTGGATTAATAGAATATATGGGAAAAAAACACATGATCATCTCAATTGATGCATAAAGAAAATCTGAAAAATTCAACACTCTTTCGTGATAAAAACACCCAATAAACTAAGAATAGAAGGAAACCTCCTCAATATAATAAAGACCACATATGAAAAATTCATAGCTAACATCATACTTAATGATGAAAGACTGAAAACTTTTCCTGTAAGACGAGGAACAAGACAAAAACGCCTGCTTTCACCACTTCTATTCAACAAAGTACTGGAAGCTCTAATCAGAGCAATTACGTAAGAAAAAGAAATAAGGGCTTCCCTGGTGGCACAGTGGTTGAGAATCTGCCTGCCAATGCAGGAGACACGGGTTCGAGCCCTGGTCTGGGAAAATCCCACATGCCACGGAGCAACTAAGCCTGCGCACCACAGCTACTGAGCCTGCGCGTCTGGAGCCTGTGCTCCATAACAAGAGAAGGCTGCGACAGTGAGAGGCCCGTGCACCGTGATGAAGAGTGGCCCCCACTCACTGCAACTAGAGAAAGCCCTCACACAGAAACGAAGACCTAACACAGCCAAAAATAAATAAATAAATTCATTTTAAAAAAAAGAAAAAGAAATAAAAGGCATCCAAATTGGAAAGGAAGAAGTAAAATTTACTTTGTTCACAGATGACATGATATTATATGTAGAAAACTCTGAAGATTACACAAATAAACTATTAGAGCTAATAAACTAATGCAGCAAAGTTGCAGAGTACAAAATGAACACATAGAAATCTGTTGTGTTTCTATACACTAGCAATGAACAATCCAAACAGGAAAGTAGAATAGAGATTACCAGAGGCTGGGGTGAGTAGGGGTGGAGAATAGGGAATTATTGTCTAAGGGGTACAGAGTTTCTGTCTGCCGTGACGAAAAAGTTCTGGAAATGGATAGTCATGATGGCTGTACAATTGTGACTGTAGTTCATGTCACTGAATTGTACACTTAAAATGGTTAAAATAGGGAACAAGATAAGAGTGCCCATTCTCAGCACTCCTAGTCAATGTATTTCTGGAAATCTTAGCCAAAGCAATCAGGTAAAAAAAAAAAAAAAAAGGAAGGAAGGAAGGAAGGAAGGAAGGGGGGTGGAGGGAGGGAGGGAGGGAGAAAGGAAGAAAGAAAGATAAGGTGTCCAAATAGAAAAGGAAGAAGTAGAATTGTCTGTTTGCAGATGACATAATCTTATATATATAAAACTCTAAAGATTTCACAAAAAAAATGTTAAATAAATTCAGTAAAGATTCAGGATACAAAAGCAATAAACAAAAATCTATTGCATTTTCATTAAGAAACTGAGAAATTAAGAAAACAATCTCATTCAATCTCATCAAAAATAATAAAATACTTAGGAATAAATTTAACCAAGGAGGTGAAAGATCTATACACTGAAAACTATGAAACACTGATGAAAGAAATTGAAGAAAACACAAATAAGTGTAAAGATATCCTGTTTTCATAGATTGGAATAATTAATATTGCTACAATGTCCATGGTACCCAAAGCCATTTATAGATTTAATGTCATCCCTATCAAAATTCCAATGGCATTTTTCATAGAAATAGAAAAAAAATCCTAAAATTTGTTATGGAACCACAAAAGACCCCAAATAGCCAAAGCAATCTTGAGAAAGAAGAAGAAAGCTGGAGGCATCACACATCCTGATTTCTAACTATACTACAAAGCTATAGTAATCAAAACAGTATGGGATTGGCATAAAAACAGAGTCATTGATCAGCAGAACAGAATCAAGAGCCCAGAAATAAACCCATGCATACACCATAAACTAATATTTGACAAGGGAGTCAAGAATATTCAATGGGGAAAAGACAGTCTCTTCAATAAATGGTATTGGGAAAACTGGGTATTCATAAGCAAAAAAATGAAACTGGACCCTTAACTTACACCACTGACAAAAATTAACTTGAAACAGATTAAAGACTAAAATGTAAGATCTGAAATTATAAAACTCATAGAAGAAAACATAGGTAAAAAGCTCCTTGACATTGGTCTTGGCAATGATGTTTTGGAGCTGACACCTAAAGCACAAGAAACAAAAGCAAAAATAAACACGTGGGACTACATCAAACTAAAAAGCTTCTCATAGCAAAGAAACAATCAACAAAATAAAAAGGCAACCTATGGAATGGTAAAAATTATTTGCAAATCATATATCTGATAAGGGGTTAATATCCAAAATATATAAGGAACTCATACAACTCAGTAGCAAAAAACAAACAAAATCTGATTAAAAAATGGGCAAAGGACTTGAATAGACATTTCTCCAAAAAAGATATACAAATGGCCAACAGGCACACGAAAAGGTACTCAATATCACAAATCATCAGGGAACTACATATCCGAACTACAATAAGGTATCACCTCATACCTGTTAGAAAAGGTATTATCAAAGAGACAAGAAATAACAAAAGTGAACCCTTGTGCCCTACTGGTGAGAATGTAAATTGGTACAGCCACTACGGAAAACAGTATGGAGGAGCCTCAAAAAGTTAAAAATAGAACTATCATATGATCCAGCAATCCCACTTCTGGGTATGTATACAAAGGAAATGAAATCACTATCTCAAAGAGATATCTGGGCCCCCACCTCAGCCAGGTGATCAAGGTCAACATTAATAGTCATAAATCGGGCTTCCCTGGTGGCGCAGTGGTTGAGAGTCCGCCTGCCGATGCAGGGGACACGGGTTCGTGCCCGGGTCCGGGAGGATCCCACATGCCGTAGAGCGGCTGGGCCCGTGAGCCATGGCCGCTGAGCCTGTGCTCCGCAACGGGAGAGGCCACAGCAGTGAGAGGCCCGCATACCGCAAAAAAAAAGTCATAAATCATGTTGATAGTTTGTGCCCATGACATAATGTGATGAAAATAGCACTTTATTTCTGTGGTCTTCCTCCCAGAAACCTACTGCAGCCTTACTTACAATAGCCAAGACATGGAAACAACCTACATGTCCATCAACAGATGAATGAATAAAGAAAATATAGTATGTATATACAATGGAATATTATTCAGCCATAAAAAAAAATCCTGCCACTTGTAAGAACATGGATGGACCTTGAAGGCATTATGCTAAGTAAAAAAAGTCAGACAGAGAAAGACAAATAGTGTATGATCTCACTTATATGTGGAATCTAAAAAAAACACTGAACTCATAGAAACAAAGTAACTGGTGGTTGGTGGGGAAGGGCAGATGGATGAAGGCGGTCAAAAGGTACTTATAATGAATAAGTTCAGCAGATGTAAGGTACAGCATGATGACTACAGTTAACAATACTGTACTGCATACTTGAAAACTGCTGAGAGTAAATCTTAAAAGTTTTCACCACACACACACAAAAAAGGTAACTATGTGAGGTGACAGCTGTGTTAACTAACCTTATTGTGGTAAACATTCTGCAATATATTTGAATATCTAATCATTACACTGCATACCTAAAGCTTATACTACGTTGTATGCCAATTACATCTCAATAAAGCTGGGAAAACAGCTTTATTTAAAATTAAAAATAGGAACTTCCCTGGTGGCAACATGGCTAAGACTCCATGCTCCCAATTCAGGGGGCCCAAGTTCAATCCCTGCTCAGGGAACTAGGTCCCACATGCATGCCGCAACTAAGAGTTCATATGCCGCAACTAAGGAGCCTGAGAGTCACAACTAAGGAGCCCGCCTCCTGCAACTAAGACCTCGCACAATCAAATAAATAAATAAAGTAAAAATTAATTTTAAATTTTTTTAAAATTAAAAACTAAATTAATTTTTTAAATTAAATTTTTAAAAAATTTTAAATGGTCTAGTTGACAATAAATTGAATATTCAAATGAAGTACTCTTTTACAGCAAAATTTTTAAGACAGTTAAAATAGTAAATTTTATGTTACATGTATTTTATCACAACAGAAAAAAAAAATAAGAGTGTATTTGAGAGATTTTGTCATTCCACAACAAATATGCAGTTTTACTGAACCCTTGTCAGCACTGGCAAGTACTTTATTAGAAAACCTATTTATAACAGACTACGTGTAACAAAAATTATTTGTATAAAGATTAGTCATGCAGCACCAGGGATATATAAGGACAGAACTTTATCAGAATTCTTAAGTACCTCAAAAGTCTATTTCTGATTTAAAGAAGAACTACCAAGTGTTTTTTTTTCGTGTGTGTGTGTGTGTGTGTGTGTGTGTGTGTGTGTGTGTGTGTGTGTTGTTATCCTTTATCCGTTACCTTTGGCAATCAAGACACAGTGTGGTCATGCAGGCAGGGCAATTCAAGACAGCATCACTATTTGGAAAAGGCTGTTGTTGTTGACGTGGCCGCTGTATTCCAAAACCATGGTAGCTAGAACAGAAAAAGAAGGTGAAGAGGGGAAACACATTAAAGCCAGATCTTGCTTTCAAACGCCACTCTCCCAATAAAAGAAACCAGTACCCCTTAGAGAAATGGTTGATTCCAGGAATGGGGCATACAAGATGGACCTGGAACATCCTGTAGGGCCAGAAAGTAAGGAAGTGCTCAGAAAGAAAAAACAAAAAACCCACAAAGAGACAGGAATGTTAAAGGGGCACAGGAGCCAACTGAAAGAGTTCCCAATGACTGAGGCCAAAACAATTAGAGCATCAAAATAAAGTAGTATTGAATTATAACCAAAATATAAATAAATACCCATGAGTCCATGCTGACATAAATGACTTAATAAATAAATAAATGGGGGAGAATAGACACATCTCCCATACATAACAATTACAAATAATTTATGAAGATACTCTCCCCTCAAGGAGGAAGAGCATAACTCCAGACTCCTTAAGTCTAGGCTAAACATGTGACATCCTTCCAAAGAGTATGGTACAGAAAGGGGTGGAAAGAGTAACTTTACAGTAGAGAAACCTGACAAATACTACTTCACTATAGTGAACAAGATCGACATTAACAGTCATAAATCACACTGATAGTATGTGCCCTTGATACAAAGTGATGAAAACGGCACTTTACCTCTGTGGTCTTCCTCCCCAAAACCTCTAATTCCAGTCTAATCATGAGAAAAACATTAGATAAATTCCAGTGCTCGCTTCGGCACCACATATACTAAAATTAGAACGATACAGAGGAGATTAGCATGGCCCCCGTGCAAGGATGACATGCAAATTCGCGAAGCATTCCATATTTTTTTATCTATGATTGTTGAATCATTCCATGAAAAGGCACTCTACCACAAGATCAGCTGGATTGTGCGTTTAACGGATGTGGGAGTGGGGGAGTTGCTTGTTCATCCCTTCAGTTTGCACTTGGAACTCCTTTGATACCTCAGAGTTGGGATGGAGCTGGCCAGCCTGTGAAGACCTCCTTTGGGGAGCGCGGGGAGAATTTTTTTCCCCACTTTTATGAAGTGTTTTTTTTTTTTTTTTTGATGAAGATATGTTCTTCTGTATACTATGTTTTCAAAGTGCTAACTGTCGTTATCTAGCGTTATCTTGTTGTTTGTACAGAACTACACTGGCCTAGCACAGGCAGATGTAGATTTTGTTATACTTGTCATAGCTGTTTTAATAAACTTGAGTTCTACTGCTGAAAAAGAAAAATTCCAATAGAGGAGCCTCCCACAATATACCTGACCAGTGCTCCTCAAAACTGTTAAGGTCATCAAAACCAAGGAAAGTCTGAGAAACTGTCACAGCCAAGGAAAGCCTAAGGAGACATAACAACTAAATGTAACATGGTATCCCGGATGGGCTCTTGAAACAGAAATGGGTATTAGGTAAAAACTAAGGAAATATGGGGGAATTCCCTGGAGGTCCAGTGGTTAGGACTCCACACTTGCATTGCTGAGGGTGTGGGTTCAATCCCTGGTCAGGGAACTAAGATCCCGCAAGCCACGTGGTGGAGAAATAAATAAATAAAGGGGGTCATTTGAAGCCCACTGGGCTTCACTGGGATGGTGCAGGATCAATAATGTGACAGAGATGACTGTGCTTTAAATACAATTGCTACCCAAAGGTAAAACAGGATATTTTTAAAAAAGAGAAAAAAAAACTAAGGAAATCTGAATCAAGTATGAACTTTAGTTAACAATAATGCATCGATTATTAACTGTGACGAATATACCATATTAGCGCATGGCGTTAACAACAGGGGAGACTCGTGCGTTGCTGTTGTTGTGGGGGGTGTGGGCAGTACCATGGCAATTCTCTGCATCATCGGCTCAATTTTTCTGTGCACCTAAAACTATTCTGGCACAGCAGCGGAACTGCCACCAGATCCACTGTCAGTCCACGCCGCCTGTCGCGCCGCCTGCCCGCCCAGCGTCCACTGCCACTGCCACCGCCATGGGAGTGCAGGCGGAGACCATCTCCCCCGGAGAGGGGCGCACCTTCCCAAAGCGCGGCCAGACCTGCGTGGTGCGCTACACGGGGATGCCTGAAGATGGAAAGAAGCTGGATTCCTCCTGGGACAGAAACAAGCCCTTTAAGTTTGTGCTGGGCAAGCAAGAAGTGATCCGAGGCTGGGAAGAAGGGGCTGCCCAGATGAGCTTGGGTCAGAGAGCCAAGCTATCTCCCTCTCATATTTGACGTGGAGCTTCTAAAACTGGAATGTCAGGAATGGCCTCCTCCCTGAGCTCCCCATTCTTGGATGTGCCATGGAAGTATCTGGTGCCTACAGATGAGCACAGCGAGTCCGTACGGAGCTTTCCCTGATGTTCCACTACACTCTGTATAAATATCTTCCCAGACTGAATGTGTTGTCACCGGCTTTGCTCTTCCCCTTTCTCCTTGTATGTGTGTTGACCTGAACTATATGCCATAAACCTCAAGTTACCCATTTTAGTTTGTTTTCATTTGGGGGTGAACGCTGGGTTTCAGTCCTTTGGATCTAGGTTTCCAGTTACGTATTATTCAAGTATTAACAGCGCAAGTAATGGGTTAACTTTAGAATAGGAATTGTTGTGGGGGGGGCAATAATCTATATATATATTTTTTTGGATGAAAGTTTTATCTATTATATATTAAACATTCTTGCTGTTGCAACTGCGAAGCCATAGCAGATTTGAGGTGCTTTTGAGGGCCGAATTATTCTCCAAGTTAAGCGACGTCCTCGGGCTGAATTAAAAGCCCTACCCAAAACTAAAGTGGGAAGGGGAGAGCCTTTGCCTCCACTGTCCCACCTCCACCCTCCCCTTAACCCTCTGCCTTTTGAAAGCAGATCGTTTTCACTGAGATGTTGGACACTACAGGTGTCTATCCCTGGGCCAGCCAGGGACCTCTGAAGCCTAATTCATGGCCTGGATTTTTTTTTTCTTTTTGCATCCTCTGGTCTTTCTAATGGATATTTAGGACTTTTGTAATCTCATAGCTATCCAAGCTCCACTTCCTAAATTTTAAGAATTTCAATCGAAAGTTAAATTGAAGGTGCCGTTTGTAGACACAACACCCATGAAAGCCCAGCCATCATAACAAATCCCTGAGTGCTATCTTAAGAAAATTAAGCTGGTCATCACAGCTTCAGCATCTCCTGTTTTTTGATGCTCAGCTCCCTGTGCTGATCTCAGAGTTTGCTCCTTCACCCCCTCTCACCCCTTTGCTGTCCTGTGTAGTGATCTGGTGAGAGAAATTGCTGCCTACTCCCACACCCCTACCGCTACCCCCAGCACTACATATGAGTTTCATTATTGCAATGAAAGTGCCTTATGCTGGCTTTTCTCAAAAGAAAAACAAAAAAACAAAAAAACACCACTATTCTAAAAATAGTCTACTAATTAAAAAAAAAAAAAACCCACAATAAAGCTACGTTTAAAAAGCAAGGGTTGGGGCTTCCCTGGTGGCACAGCGGTTGGGAATCCGCCTGCCGATGCAGGGGACGTGGGTTCGAGCCCTGGTCTGGGAGGATCCCACATGCCGCGGAGCAACTAAGCCCGTGAGCCACAACTACTGAGCCCGTGTGCCACAACTACTGAGCCCGTGTGCCACAACTACTGAAGCCTGCGCACCTAGAGCCCGTGCTCCACAAGAGAAGCCACTGCAATGAGAAGCCCGCAGACTGCAACGAAGACCCAATGCAGCCAAAAAATAAATAAATAAGTATTTTAAAAAAAAAAAAAAAAGCAAGGGTTGGGCTTCCCTGGTGGCTCAGTGGTTGAGAATCCACCTGCCAATGCAGGGGACACAGGTTCGAGCCCTGGTCCGGGAGGATCCCACATGCCACGGAACAACTAAGCCCGTGTGCCACAACTACTCAGCCTGCACTCTACAGCCTGTGAGCCATAACTACTGAGCCCATGTGCCACAACTACTGAAGCCTGCCTGCCTGGAGCCCGTGCTCTGCAACAAGAGAAGCCACCGCAGTAAGAAGCCTGCGCACCGCAATGAAGAGTAACCCCCACTCGTCGCAACTAGAGAAAGCCTGCACGCAGCAACGAAGACCCAGTGCAGCCAAAATAAATAAATAAATAAAAATTTTAAAAAATTTTAAAAAATAAAAAGCAAGGGTTGTGGACTCCCCTGGTGGTGCAGTGGTTGAGAATCCGCCTGCCAAAGCTGGGGACACGTGTTCGAGCACTGGCCAGGCAAGATCCCACATGCCGCGGAGCAACTAAGCCCGTAAGCCACTACTGAGCCTGTGCTCTACAGCCCGCGTGCCACAACTACTGAAGCTGGTCCTAGAGCCCATGCTCCGCAACAAGAGAAGCCACCACAATGAGAAGGCCCTGCACACCAGAAAGACCCAATGCAGCCAAAAAAACAAGAAAAACCCACAACATTGTAAATCAACTATATTTCAATAAAAGTTATTAAAAAAAAAAAAAAGCAAGGGTTGTAAGCTCTAAGTGCCTAAGGATTTTGGTCTGTTTTGTTCCCTGCTGTATTTCAAGAATCTAGAACAGTGTCTGGCATATAGTAAATTCTCAACAGATATTTGCTGATTTAAAGAATAAAGCATGAATCTGCTTATGAAGACACTAAAGTATAAAAGTATATATTCTTAAAAGGGGCTTATGGAAAACACCTAAAAATTGAACAGCAAAATGCAAATCATTTGGCATTACTTCCTAAACTCTTTAAATATTTGTGGGGAAAAATACTGAGACCATGTGGTATATATTTCATAATTGTTGTTAAATACCTCCAATGCTTAGCAAATTTCAAAACCCAAACCCCAAGAAAATAACTTAATCATTCATTCAATAGGTGCTAAGTGCCCATACAGCAGTGTGCAAGATGCCTGGCGTACAGCATTGAACAAGACAGGTATGATCACTGTCCTTGTGGTGCTTAAAATGTAGTGAATTCATTATTTGAAGCTGGTTTCTGTGGTCTTAAAAGGCAACTACTGCTTGACACAGGAATGTGAATAAGTCAATAAGATGTTATTTCTTCTCAAGATTATGTAAGAATGAAAATACATTCCATCTTACTTCCATGACAAATTCTGTCACCAGAATAAGGAGCTAGACCGTAAGCTCCTTAATTATTTCAATAGCACTCATAGCACTTAAAACGTTCATTTCACACTGTGAGTGTGAAAAATATTCATCACATAAATGCAAGGGGCAGTTGGAGGAAGTGGTGCACAGGTGAAACTAGGAGAGGAAAAAAGGACAAAGTGGGAGGGTGGAAGCTAAAGCGTGGTGCACAAAGACCCACATAACATCACAAGCCCTCTGGGCTTGACAAGTACAGATTCCTGGGCCCCACCCTAGCGGAATCAAAACCTCCTCAGTAGGACTCAAGGGTTCGCATTTCATTCTAACCAGGTGATTCTGAAGCACAGCTAGGTTAGGGAAAAATAGTTGTAAGTTGCCCAGCTTTCACTTTTATGATAAATCAGCCTTTATCAGCTCAAATTTGAAAATGAGTATGGAGTTTCCTCTTAGGATGATGAAAATGGTTTGAAATAAATATAGGTAGTGGTTGCACAACATTGTGAATACACTAAATACCACTAAATTGTTTTCTTTAAAATGGTTAACATTATGTCATGTGAATTTTACCTCAACTTTAAAAAATCAAATTTGTATACCGTATGCTAACGCATATATATGGAATCTAAAAAAAAAATAAAATGGGGACTTCCCTGATGGCACAGTGGTTAAGAATCCACCTGCCAATGCACGGGACATGGGTTCGAGCCCTGGTCCAGGAAGATCCCACATGCCACAGAGCAGCTAAGCGCATGCGCCACAACTACTGAGCCTGCGCTCTAGAGCCTGCAAGTCACAACTACTGAGCCCACGTGCCACAACTACTGAAGCCCATGCACCTAGAGCCCGTACTCTGCAACAAGAGAAGCCACTGCAATGAGAAGCCTGCGCACCACACAAAGAGTAGCCCCTGCTCGCCGCAACTAGAGGAAGCCTGCGTGCAGCAACGAAGAACCAACGCAGCCATAAATTAATTAATTAATTATTTTTTAAAAAGGTACTGATGAACCTAGTGGCAGGGCAGGAATAAAGACGCAGACATAGAGAATGAACTTGAGGACATGGCGGGAGGAAGCTGGGGCAAAGTGAGAGTATCATTGACATATATACACTACCAAATGTAAAATAGCTAGTGGGAAGCTGCTGTATAGCACAGGGAGATCAGCTCGGTGCTTTGTGTCCACCTAGAGGGGTGGGATAGGGAGGGTGGGAGGGAGATGCAAGAGGGAGGGGATATGGGGATATGTGTAAACATATAGCTGATTCACTTTGTTATACAGCAGAACCTAACACAACGTTGTAAAACAATTATACTCTAATAAAGATCTATAAAAAAATTTTAAAATTAAAAAAAAAATCAAATTTGTAAATAGTTAAAAACAACAATTCAAGCATTCAAGTAGAAAACATAACATCCACTGTTTATCCACATAAACTCTTTTTTGGCAGTACCACGGCATGCAGGATCTTAGTTCCCCAACCAGGAATTGAACCCGTGCCCCCTGCAATGGAAGCACGGAGTCCTAACCACTGGACCGCCAGGGAATTCCCCACATAAACTCTTAATCTCCAAGTAATTTTAAACTGTTGATTTGAAAAAAGTCAGTTTTGTTTCTTAAAGGGAGAGACTGACTAGCTATAGCAGTCTGAATGCAACAACAGTTTTTAAAAACCCAATGGCCTAAAGAATGTGTGTATGTGTATAACGGAGTCACTATGCTGTACAGCAGAAATTAGCACAACACTGTAAATCACCTATACTTCAATTATAAATAAGTAAATAAATATTTTTTAAAATAAATAAAAAACCAATGGTCTGACTGAAATTTGCTTTTCATTTTTAAAATAAACTATTCAGCAGTTTTTTCACAAACTTAACGCATGTCTGTATAAACATATACACATACACTCAAAATGTGAATATAGCGAAAATCATCTTTTAATCATTTTTCCTAAAGATTCTAATTTTAAATTTAAGTTCTTACCCTCTTCTCTGTGCATCAACCCAGGCCTGATCTCTGTCATCTTTTTCAGGATCATATAGTAATTCATCATTTGTTGGAATTCTGTGTTGTTTCTTCTTCTTTTTCTTGGTCACCTGTGCTAGTTTTGAAAATGTTAACGATATGGCTAAGTATCATGTCTAAAATCCACACCTCTTTTATACAAAATGAAGAAACCTGTTTCCTAAGGTACATATTTTTTCTAGTTATATTTTTCTAAAAAAATATTTTAAACTATTCCTCCAAATAAAGTTCAGAACTGAGTTCAAATAATGAGACGTCAGAGTCTTACTCAAAGTAAGCCAAGAATAGAAACTTTTTTTTTGGCCATGCTGCACGGCTTGTGGGATCTTAGTTCCCTGACCAGGGATCAAACCTGGGCCCTGGCATTGGAAGTGCAGAGTCCCAACCACTGGACCACCAGGGGAGCCCCTAGAAACTATTTTTGATGTCTTAAATTCTCCATAAGTTCTCATACATAAAATGCTACTGAAATCAGAACAAAAATGAATGGAAAAAAAAAACTATGGTCATCCACATACACTAGACCTACTTGGGCAGGTCAATGTTAATGTAACAACATATAAAAATATAAAATTGTTTACCATATAAATTTGTTATTTGTGTATTCCATCATAATTACTGATATAATTAAGTTAGTTTTAGTTCTTGTCATTGTGTTCAACTTTGCTCAAATTTATACAAAATCAATTCCAAAGAACAGAGAGATTGATTGATTTAAAAAAAGCAACAAGTTAGGGAAAATTCTGCAAGAGATTAAAATCTAGAAACTATCTGCAGTTGTGAAAGCAAATGTTGCTGTGCTAAAGAACCTGAAGGAAGAGGGGGCCAAGAGCCCTGAGGAAAGAGGTACTGAGTCAGGACACACTCTTCCTCTCCCCAGAGGTGCCGCTGCAGCACCACCCTCAGTCCCTGTCCTCAGGTGTGTTCCCATCTGTTCTTATGTGCAATCCTGCTTTTGTTTTCACATCAACTGCCTGCAATTTCTTAAAAGATGAAACTCAAAGGGAAAATCTAATATCAAATAATTGCTAGGTAAACCTTCCTTCATAAAATATAACTGCTAAACCTGGTAAACATGTTACTTACCTGCTTTGTCTTCATCCTCAGAATCAGAATCAAAATATATATCGTCATAGTACTTTGTCGGAGCTGTTCCAACTTTCCCATTTCCTGAGGAAGACCCTAGTCAAACCATAAGGGAAGTTTAAAAACTGAATCATACTGGATTGGCAAGGAAAAAAACTCCATATATTCTTCCATCACTTCAAAGTGATACCAACTCATTCCCAATTTCATTTGGGTGGAAGAATACTTTCACATCAATTGACTTACTGGATTTCTGTGCCCTATGCAATTACAGAGAACTTCCCCTCCTTGAATAACTGTTCCAAATCATGAGAAAATTATTCTCTCTCCTTTCCCACAAAGAGACTGAAAGCATATATAAATAATGATAAAAGCACATCTAATTAAATAAAATAGCCATATTTTCACATTGCCGGCATATATCTCTCTACCTTTCAGCCATGCAGTATACTGTGGAGAACAGGGAATAAACATCTTGTTTTAAGGAACTTTAGAAGAAAGAGGATAAGAGCTCTACAAAGAGTCAGGCAGAATGAGTCAAGGACACATTCTTTCTCTCCTCAGCTGTGCCTAGTGCCATGACATCACCTATACTTATGCCATCATATGCCTGCATCCCTAATTCTTCCTCTTAATTAACATCTGCTTTTGCTTTTATCATTATTACATATGCTTTCAATTCTTAACAGTTAATATATAGCATAACAACATGGAAACCAATTCTGAGGAGTCCTACCTTCACAAACAAGTTTTCGAGTCAGATATATTTTACATAGAAACCAAGTATCAAAATGAAGTATGTTTCATTACTTACTAAAATGAGACAGGAATTTGTGGTGACACATCATTCAACCTGCTATATCAGTGCTATATAACCTTAAATATACTTCTATAAGCTAGTGTGTCTCTTTTTCTTTTATCCTGAGATAAAAATTACAAAAGGAAATCATACAAGTAAACAATGCTAAACAGTCTCTTTCCAGCAACACACGAAACTTCTTCACTAGCAATGAAAGAAAACTACGCTCAGGTTGCCAAGCACATTTATTCATTCATTCAGTAAGTATTTACTGAGCACCTACTGAAAGTGCTGGGGCCATAACAGAGCACAAATAAGGGTCCCTGCCATTATGGAACTTAGAAAAATATCTATATGAAAATCTAACTAAAAGTTTACCTGTTTCTAGAGAGGATAACTTGTCCTCCATTGTTTTTATGGTGGAATTTAATTCAGCTTCCATTTCTTTTTCAAATTCATCTTCACTAGAGGATTCACTTTCTCCAGTAAGACATTCTCTGATAAGTTTTCGTTTTTGCTCAGGAGTTCCATGTAAAAGCACATCCACCTCATCTTCAGAACTAGAACACATTTAAATCATAAAGAATATAAATATTAAAGAATTAAAATAACTTCAAATGCCTATCATCTCACTGCCCAACAAATTTAAATTTTATAAGGTTGCATTTGATTCAGCTATCATTACATACAGCTCTTCTCACTTGATAGTTCAACCATTTCTGCATATTTCCAAATATATTTTTTAATGTCTGCATAACATTTCCTCTTGCAGATGCTGTACAGTTATTTCTCTTCGCTATTAAACACTACAATGAATATCTCCGTATATATAATTTTGTTTCTGTTGATTTCCTTAGGTTAAATGTCTAAAATTAGATGCAAATGTCTTTCTGACTTCTAGAATTATCACACTACTTTCCAAGAGTACTGCACCAATTCATAATTCCATCAGCAATGAAAAATTTACCTCACAGAACTGGGAGTTTGTTTTAAACTCTGGATACTTAAATAAAACTTAATATATGTAACAAATAGATAGCTAATACATCCACACAAAATGTAACAGACAGTAAGTAAATATTACAGTTTAAAAGGCATAGTGCTACGGAGAACTAAAAAGAGAGAGAGGGCTAAATTATATTCCAAATTCTCCTGAGCAATTTCTGCCAATTTCCTTGGACTTTTGTGCCTGGGTTTCCCCATCAATAGCAGTATGACAGAATTAAACGAGATATCAGAAGGAATGAAATGTTATCAAGATGAAATGCCTAAGACTTTTCTACTATAATCAATAGTACACACATAATGTTCAATTATTCATGATCTGATGAGCGGTTACAGACTATTCCTGGGTTTTGCTTCTCTATTTTTCTCTTCTACAACAATGCTTGTGAGCCTCAAGCAGAAGGTAAATAAGAAAAATACAATTCACACCAATCAATTTTGCTAATGATAGAGGACTTATCCAGATTCTACTTCCAAGAAAATTCCCCATCTGACATTCCTCATCCTGACCAGCATGCTCCCTTTCTCCATTACCACTATATTCACTCAGGTCCTCTTTTTTTTTTTTTTTTACATCTTTATTAGAGTATAATTGCTTTACAATGGTGTGTTAGTTTCTGCTTTATAACAAAGTGAATCAGTTATACATATACATATGTTCCCATATCTCTTCCCTCTCGTGTCTCCCTCCCTCACTCAGGTCCTCTTAACTCTGCCTGTACCACCATGGCCTAAGGATCTCCAGGTCTCAAAACTCTTCTGCTTCTTTCCACCCTTAACCCTGCTGACAGAATGTTATTCCTAAAGAACTCTCATCACATCACTACCCAAATCCAAAAGAAAATCATCCATGACCGAAACTCTAAGTACAGCATTCAAAAGAACCTTCCACAATCTGGTTTCAACCTATCTTTCCAGCCTTACCTCTCACTATTACCCTTGAACTACCCCAGTACTCTTCAACTGGGGGGCAATTTTGCCCCCCAGGGAACATTTGGCATAGCTAGACATATTTTTGATTATCACAACTGGGAGGTGGGAGGAGGGGTACTGGCATCTAGTGGCATATTTACTGCCTGCTGTAAAAGAGGTGGATTCTCCAAGCTCAAGTGGTCCTCAGCCATGACACCAACCCAGTGAATGTGTAGCACCCATCTGGGCCTCTCCATGTAACCCCTACAGGAGTTGGGAAGTAAGAGCAACCAACACAAACATGATGCTCATGCTGTATGCTCTGCTGTCAGGTGTCTCCAACTCAGAAGACTCATGTGTTCTGCCAGCTTCCATGAAACAGTACTACGCTATAAAAGATTCACTTCTAGGTATGGTAAAATCAAATCCTGAGAGACACCTCTTAAACCCCTCTCTAACACAATCTCCCTTTTTAAAATGAGCATTCGATTCAGAGCGTTGAGCGGGCGATACTGCCTAATAACACTGTTTTGTTTTCAAAGTATTTATTTTTACCGTTACCTTACCAGTGGCAACTGTCACAGGAATATAAAGCCTCTTTAAAGACATTTAACTACATGGGAATTCCCTGGTGGTCCAGTAGTTAGGACTCCGTGCTTCCACTGCTGGGGGCCCAGGTTCAATCCCTGGACGGGGAACTAAGATCCTGCAAACCGTGAGGCCAAAAAAAAGGCATTTAACTACAAAAATGTAAATTAACTTAAAGAAAATGATTAAATAAATAATAAGAGGGGTGAATATGGGGATGGTAATGGCAGAATAGCTCAAGTTCAGGAAACACTGAATCCAATCAAACTGAATTACTAATTGAGTTTCACAAACTGGACCCATTAATTGAAATTCTTCATAAGGGAATCTTGGAATCCATCCTCACTCCCCACAACAGAAATCTTCAGAGCAGTGTGATCTCCCATGCCTATAATCCCTCCTCAGGATAATATAAGGAAACATTGTGACTGAAAGAAGGACAGTTCCACTGAAAGCTTAGTTGTACAGAATGTTTCAAAGTTTATGAACAGGATCTGCTGACAGCTTAAAAAATGGCTAAATTTTCCTGGAAATCTCTTGTCAACATAACTGCAATTTTCCTCCAGATAGGATTAATCCCTCCCTTCTGGAAATTCCCACAGAACTTCATCTGTGACTATCCCAGGTCATCTTCTTCTACAGTGGTCTTCTGAAATACACGTTTACTTCCGAGACATATATCTTCCGAGATATATTTATCTTATGTCCCCTACTTTACCGTTAAACCTGTCAAAGACAAAAATCTTATGACTGACCTTTGTAGCCCACAGCAAGCATACAATAGGTGCTCAAAAACAAGAAGTTAAACACCCCCTTATTTCTGTTTATTGCAGTTTAGTCTCATGATGGTCACTTCACAGTAACTCCCATGTGCCTCACAACATACTCGTGATATACTTATTATACCTCCATTTTATAGATGAGAAACCGACGATAAAGGACTTGCCTTCGGTCACAGTGCTAGTAGCTGCAGAAGCAGGATTCGATTTCACGGCTTTTGAATCTTACGCCTAATTCCAGAATGTGCCCCTTACCCGCGCCAGTGTCGGTCCCGCCTCCCCCGTGGCTACGCGACCTCACCAGACCCCCCTCGGCCTCCCACAGGCGACAGCGAGGCGCGACAGGGGCCCGAACCGCTGGACAGAGAATCCGCACGGGTCCGGCAAGCGCAGCGAGAGGGGGAGGCCTCGGCCTAGCCTCGGCCCGAAGCCTCGGGGACCGGGGCGGGGTAGGGGCCTACCTGCTCAAAGCCGGCTCCTCGTCACTAGGCTCTTCAACTGCGTAGGGGTCATAGTCATCTTGGAGGCGGTTCATGGCGGCCTGCCCCCTCCGATACCGTCCACAGGCGTCAGCAGACTACCTGCTTTCTCCGCAAGTCCCTTTCCTAAAGCGCTCCAGCACCACTTCCGCCCGCACGTCCGCGCCCTCACTGCGCGCCTGCGCAGATCTTCCAAGCGAGGGGCTGGAGGAGGAAGCGGGGGCGGGGCCGCGAGAAGGGGAGGGGCGGGGAGGGGGGGAGGGGCGGGCGGGGAGGGGAGGGGGAGGGGCGGGCGGGGAGGGGGAGGGGCGGGCGGGGAGGGGAGGGGCGGAGGGGGAGGAGCGGAGGAGGGGGAGGTGGCGGGGAGATCAGTAAGTTTTATATATATATGTATGCGTGTATATATATGTATGCATATATATATATATATATATATAGTTTTGGCCATGCCCTTTGGCTAGTGGACTCTTAGTTCCCTGACCAGGGATTGAACCCAGGCCCATAGCAGTGAAAGCGCGGAGTCCTAACCACTGCACCGCCAGGGAGCTCCCTTCCCTGGTTTTCAACTATTGTTCCACCCAACTCTTTTTCGAGGTACAATACTCTCCCATGAGTCACAGTGATGTGAAGGAGACACCTGTTGGGGAACCCATTTTTCCTTTTCTGAGAATTGTGGCCCTCCTCAAGGATGTGCCCTTATATCCATATTCATTCTGATCCACAAAAATTGAGTCATTACTTATTTACTCCCATAAACTTAAAATTAGGAATTAGAGATTCTGGGACTTCCCTCCCTAGTGGTGCAGAGGTTAAGAATCCGCCTGCCAATGCAGGGGACACGGGTTCGAGCCCTGGTCCGAGAGGATCCCACATGCGGCGGAGAACTAAGCCTGTGGCCCACAACTACTGATTGAGCCTACATGTCACAACTACTGAAGCCCGCGCCTAGAGCCCGTGCTCAGCAAAAAGATAAGCCACCGCAATGAGAAGCCCGAGCCCTGCAGTGAAGAGTAGCCCCCGCTCGCCGCAACTAGAGAAAACCCGCGCAGCAACAAAGACCCAATGCAGCCAAAAATATAAACAAATAAATAAATGAATTTATTTTTTAAAAAAAAATAGAGATTCTAAGGAGTTGGCTGTAATCCTACAACTGGTAACAGAACAAGTAAACTCAGGGGCTGAGCCTGCCATTTTTGGTGGCTGCTTGGGGGTTACATATGCTAATGACGAGCAAGCAAAGAAAAGCACGAGTATGTAGCAAACTGAAACAGAGAGGCTTTCCCTGAGCCCCTTGTCAAAAACTGTAAGCCCTCAACCCCACCCTCTTCTCTCCATCCCATCTTCTCTAACCCTAAATCCACTTTTCCCCCTTCAACTTCATGTTACTTATTTGTTTGCTTACTTCTGTCTCCCTCTTCCATTTCTCTATCGCTGCACAAAAACATCACCCCAAAACTTAAGAGCTTTAGAACAAAAACACTCATCTATTTTTATCCAAATCTGCAGTTTTGAAAGGCATTACCCTGATCCCCAATGTCTAGGGACTCAGTTTGGGACTAAAACCTGAGCATGTCTCTTTTCCATGCATCGTTCTCCACAAAGCCTTGGGCTTCTGTTGAAGGAGATGATTGGTGGGCTGTGACCACTGGTTGATCTTTGAGCTGGACTCAGGCAATCAAGTTTCCTCACCTGCTCCCCTATCCTTGCAATGTACACTTTGCCTCCTGTTCCCCTCCTGTTCCTCCCCTGTTCAGACAGTGGGAGCTGTCCGAATGATGAAGCCTTGAGTGAGTAGGGTGTTGTTGAGACCATCTGGACAGTATACCTGACAACCCAGTTAAGTCTTCTGTATAAACTTTTAAGAATTGGCTGGGGGACTTCCCTGGTGGCACAGTGCATAAGACTCTGTGCTCCCAATGCAGGGGGCCCAGGTTCGATCCGTGGTCAGGGAACTAGATCCCACATGCATGCCGCAACTAAGGAGCCAGCGAGCCGCAACTAAGGAGCCCACCTACTGCAACTAAGATCCAGCGCAACCAAAATAAATTTTTTTTAAAAAAGAGACCTTTAAAAAAAAAAAAGAATTGGCTGGCAGGGATAGAGATCTTCTACTCTTTTAGCGCCCAAAACAATCCTAGTAAGCTCCCTTGCCTCTTAAACCTGCCTGCCTCTTTCTTTACTCTCTCCTTAGTGAGGGAGGGGAGTCAGTTTGTAAACCAGCAGCTTCCTCACAACATGGCAGCCCCAGAGTTGTCAGCTTTCTCACTCACAGCTCAAGTCTCCCACACAGGGTTCTCAGAGGCCCAGAAGGAAGCTGCAAGCCTTCTGCTGACCTAACCTCAGAATCCCCCGAACATTACTTTGGCCTCATGCTGTTGGTCAGCCTAGTCACTAAGTCCAGATTCCAGGAGAGGGGTAGATACACCTCTCAATGGGCAGAATAGCTGGGATATAAAAGGTCTCAGTTTACAGTCTTAAAAATTGTGTTTGGAATTCCCTGGTGGTCGGGTTGTCAGGACTCCGCGCTTCCACTGCAGGGGGCCCAGGTTCAATCTCTGGTCGGGGAGCTAAGATCCTGCAAGATGCCTGGCACAGCACAAAAAAATTTAAAAAAGTGTGTTTGTCTCACCGTCTAAAAACAAAATGAGAGTTCAATGGATTAAATGGACTATTTCAGAACTCGTGAATTGACTATTAAACATAATCAACTGTTTTTAACAAATTTTAAGTGTTTTAAATGTTTGAAGTGTTTTAAAATACTTTGTGGGGGAGTTCCCTGGTGGCCTAGTGGAGTCAGGCTTTCACTGCCTGACCCAGGGTTCAGTCCCTGGTCGGGGAACTGAGATACCATAAGCCACGCGGCACGGCCAAAATAAAACAAAAAACTTTTGTGTTTGCCGGTATTATATACTTAACTCCAGCACTGCACAATTTACAAAGTGGAAGAAGTTTGTAGCAATACTTTGCCCTGTTTAATTCAGTGTTAAAATCTTGACTTTTTTTTCCTTTAGTTTTCACCAGGTTTAGTTGTTGTGTGTTTTGAAGCAGTTCATGTGTTGAAGTAGTTGATGAGACGCTAACTCTAGAGGACGCCACGAACAAAACGATCGCTTTTAAGTTGATTGGGGAAATCTTACTACGTAAATGCTTAATGGGGGTGGGGAGGAGGGAAAGGTCCTCATAATAACCATGCCTAGTGGGGATGAGTTCGGTCGGCTGCGAAACCAAAACCAAGAAGGTGAGACCAGACCCGAGCCCCGACTCACACCCTCAAATGCCTGGCACCAGACGCCCCGAACTCCAGCCGTCCCCATCACCCCTCCGGGTCCCGATTCTTCGCCGCGCACCCACGCCACCTGGACCACCAACGGCGACGTGTCTCCCCTGGGAATTAGAAGGTCCCACATCCACCACAGAGGACGTGGCGTACATCTAGAGAAACCTGGAGGTCAAGGAAACCTGTCCTAGGCTCTTCGAGGCCACACAAGTCGAAGAGAAAGTAACAAACTAGAAACCCGCCTGAGGGCTAACTACCCCCAAACATAGTAATTTCTCAATGGAAATGACAAGGTTCACTCGACCTGTCTGCCTATTTCTCTACCATAAAAGACA